AAAAATGATGACGTACTCAGAGGGGTCGCAGCTCTCGCCTCACTGTTTATGGCATTGCTCCTGATGCCGCTTTGACACATATAACCCTTAAAATGGGTGTATTTTGTATGGCCCCGGGATGCAGAAATGAAAGTTACCAAAAGACGAGTGTAAACTATGGGGTAAGGTTACTGTCAATAAAGACGTGCATGTCTAAAAAAATGCGTGCATATTTATTGGTATTTGTGCATAAAAATATTTTATTAATTCATCATTAAGATGATACAAACTAAAAAGACATGGAATTTCGTAATTAAGAATAAAAAAATATTAAACTGTATGTGTGATTTTGTACTTGTGAATGCGATTTTTTTTTTTGTGCTTGCATTTTCTTTTTGAGAATACGAATTTCAGCAGTGAGCAAACTGTCAATATGACGTCACTGCTCACAGACATTAACAATCGAGCCTGCGCAGAGTTGATCAACTTCATTGCCCCAAAACTAAACATGGCAGAGGGACACAACATAAATAAAGTGGCTCAAAATCAGGTATATAACTATATTTTATCATTTTGGTTGTAAATGAATGTGTTATGGTGCGTTCAGACCAAACGCGATTTCTGCGGCCAAAGCGGCGGGTCTACATTGACACAACATGGGGGACGCGCGCCAAGGAGCGGCGAGAGATCACGCGGCGCGATTCGCGCGGCCAGAGCGGCGCGAACTCGCGCGATTCGCGCGGCGTGTTTTGAGATGTCAAGCGTTTTGACGCGCGTTTCGCGCGATTCGTGCGTCCAACGCGGCCGCCGCTAGAGTTGAACAATGTTGAACTTTTTGGGAGAATTCGCGTGTGCCGACCAATCAGGAGCTTTCTCCTACAGTGACGTAGTGACGCATTTCACTACCGGAAAAACACTAGTAGATGACAGCTATGGAGAACACGTCAATTGCTCAGGTCGGTGCTCATTCTGAGCTATATAACACTGCGGACCACAGCTACCGGGACCGAAATAAAAAGGAGCTTGCTTGGAGGAGGGTTAGCGAGGTGGTTGGTGTCTCGGGTAAGTTATTTTAACTTTTCAATGTTGTAAATATTTCCCCGCGAAAAAAACTACTACTTTCCTGCTTACGAGTTGATGTGTTTATTCAGTGGAAGTTTGCAAAAAGCGGTGGAAGAATCTGAGGGACACATATGCTAAGGAGAGCAGGAAGGAGAAGGAGAAGGTGAAGAAGAGTGGTGCAGAAGCAGGGAAAGGCCAGACGTGGAAGTACCTTGTGGTCATGTCCTTCCTCGAGCCCTACATCACTCCCCGTGACAGCTCCGGGAACATGCCAAGGCAAAGGGCCGAGGAGGAGCAGACCACAGGGTACAACCACCCAGACGAAAAGACAGAGGAAGCAGCAGCAGCAGCAGGGCTGTCAGGTGCTGAAGGTCGGTGTCATGCAGCAAACAGAAACCTCGAACAGTTGGAAAAAATACATTTCTTTCCTTTCTATTACCCACATTTTTCTGACTTTTACATTTATATTGCTTTCTGTGTATGCATTTCTTTTAATGCTTTCTTAACATCATGGCCAAGTGAAAATAGGCATTGGCTATTTTCAAACCAGGATAGATCTTGATCATGTGTTGTGTTAAATTTCACTTTTCCCTTTTATATGAACAAATCATTTAAATGTACATAATAATGTACATTATTATGTACATATAAATGTCATTAGCGCAATGTACACATGATATGAAATAATTGTATTTCTTGTTTTCTTCTGGCACAGATACTGCCACCACCACACAAGGTGAGACATCTTGGCCTGAGCTGCCTGCTGCTGCTGCTGCTTCTTCTTCCTAAGCCGGTTCTTCTTCTGTGAGGGCTGGACCTTCCCCTGCTTCTGCACCTACAGGTGTGGCTTTTTTTAATCATTGTTTTATTTTTATTCTTATTACAGGACTGTTCATATAAACAAAATGTTACTGCATAATATGCCAAAATTACCCAAGGGCTGTTACATCAGTGTAGACGACAAATTTACAGAGAAACGACAAGATGTCAAGGCACTACAAGTGGAAAGAAGCTTTGGTCTGATACAACACATCTTCCCTCTTTCTTCGATAAAAACATACTACTGAAATACCTTATGCTATAAAAGTACTGAACAAATACATGCAATGGTTGCCACAAGATGGCAGCTATCCTGTTTAATGCAGACAATAGAGTATTACTTTTTTAACAGCCAATTTCAAATTTCATTGCGAAATACACTTCAGAGATATTAGTTTGTAACTGTCGAAATTTGTGCTTGTGTGAGTAATTTCATTGATAACTGCAATGTTCAAGTTAATTGTAACAAACACACTACTTAAAAGTGTTTTACATGTGTTTAACTATGTCTACACACTCTGGCTTTAATACAGATATTATTTGCTCTCTTCATTTTGCTTTTTTGAAATACATGTTCCACTTTTTAACACTGTGATTGCCCTGTGTTCTTTGTTGGCGGCTCTACGGACGTGGGCCTCTTCCGAGCCCTCTTCCTTGGTGGGCCTTCAGAGTGGGAGCGGGAGCTGCTGGAGACTCTACGGACCAAAGCAGCCGGACCGCCCCACTACACAGAAGACCATCAGTTCCTGCTCTCTCTCTTTCCTCTCCTGCAAAGGGTGGCACCAGAGTCAAAAGAATTTGTGAAATTCAAAATGTACCAACTTTTATATGAAAGCAGCACCGTTCTGCTTAATTTGGAACCATTGGCCAGAACAGGGCGGCACGGTGGGCGGCACGGTGGCTGAGTGGATAGCACTCTCGCCTCTCAGCAAGAAGGCCCTGGGTTCGAATCCCGGTCGGACCAGGGCCTTTCTGAGTGGAGTTTGCATGTTCTCCCCGTGTCTGCGTAGGTTTCCTCCGGGTACTCCGGTTTCCCCTACCACTAAAAATATGTCCAATAGTTCTGGCATGCGCCTCCTGTACTGGCGACCCCGCTCCCATCTCTGTGTGGGGTGAGAGACAAATGCCCAAAATTAACAATTGTAAACCGCTTTGAGACTCAGATCTGCAGTGAAAAGGCGGTATATAAATAAAAACTTACTTACTTACTTACTTACTAACAGACAGTTTTTTTACCTAAGGTGACACCTTTTGCAGGGGAGGAAACAGACATGTGTCCCTTTCCTCTTCCACCGCACCTCCTCCAAGCAAGCTCCTTTTCATTTGTTTATATGTACATTTAATTTATTTTTCATTGTTTGTTCCCTTTTTATAAAGAAAATATTTTTCAAACCTCATGTGTTCTACTTCAAGCCAACCATTACTACCTTTCATATAATACTGACAGAAAATGCTATTCTATATTTGTACATTTACTTTTATAAGAGCTGACTGGGTTTTATAGAAGATGGAATAACTAACACTTAAAGAGCGATACAGTAGTTGACAGTATTTTTTATTCATTTCACCGTTTACTGTTTTAACAACCTTGTAATTACGGAAAAGCTTGAATGTGCATATGATTAACCTGAAGTTGGAGTGGAGTCGCAGTGGAGTCTGGCAGTCATTACCTAGAAACAGAAGGTATACAGGTGAATAGAACAGTACAAATCAATATGGGTTTGGACTATGGCCAGAAAAAATGTAAAGAATTTCATATTCAAGAGGCTCAGCACATTATATGTTAGGCTCTGAAAAGAGCCGTTGTGGGTCAGTCTTGTGGTGGACATGACTACTCTGTGGGCTGCCACGGCAGTGCTCCCTCCTCACTGAAGTGGGCCATGAACACTTTCCTTATGTCCACTGCTTCTCTGGTCGCGTTGTTGGCGGCCATCCGCTGCACGCCTGGAAGTGGTTCTTCACCGGCAGCAGCTCCCCTCGGTGCAGGAACCTGCCCATCTCCAGCCATCCTCATGGCTGGAGATGGGGAGGGCGCATTAAATTGCGGCGCAGTGGAAAGGCTTCATCTGCCACGAACACATGGGGCTGGGGTCCTCTGTGGTCAGCTCCAGGTATGCACTGGTCAGGAGGCAGGTCGAGTGTGCCCTCGCGCAGAGCCTCACCAAAGGCAGAGTTGGACATGAGGCCTCCATCGCTGGATCTGCCGTACCCTCCCACATCAATCACCCTGAACCTGTACTGGGCATCCACTACAGCCAGGAGCACAAGGGAATGGTGCCCCTTGTAATTAAAAAACATGGACCCAGAGTTGGGGGGTGCCTTCACAGCCACATGCTTCCCATCAATGGCCCCACAGCACAGAGGGAAGTTCCATCGGACCTCCACTCCTCTGCTCCAGGCACAGCTATGAACTCCTCCACGAGGCAGTCCCAGATGGCTGCCACCACATCTGGGATGAGCATGGAGACGGTGGATATGCCCACTCTGAAGCTCCCCGCAATGGTCCTGTAGGAGTCCCCAGTGGCAAGAAACCTGCAATTACAAAATTATATGAACATATTTATCACAATTACATTCATAAAAATCACGTGACAAAACTTGTGTAGCATAAAATACGTTAAACTAGTAGACAGTAAACATCATAGACAGTAATCATAGACACCATATTGTTGCATAATACTGTTTTCTGAGCTATTACATTGTGGATTGTGATTGAAAAATGACACACTTTGTAAGTATTTAGGAATTCTGAATGGGGTAAAAAACACTAACCGCAGACAGATGGACAGGCGCTCTTCAGCTGGAATAGAGCGCCTGTAGTTGGTGTCCTGGTAGGAGATCCTAGCGCCAATGCGGGTCAGTAGGTCGTCAAACTGGGCCAGGGAGAGACGAAAGTACCGCTGAAAGCGACCCTCATCCGAGCGCAGCTCCCGGAGCAAATGGTGAAACTCACCAAACTCCAACCGTCTACGGACTATCTGATGAATCCAGACACGTCGTCGATTCGCCCTTTGACGACGTTGTCTGGCTTTATTTATCAGATAAAGCAACCACCACCCAAAACCCCCCCCCCACCCCCCCCCCACCAACCCCAACAACCCCAACCCCCCCCCAACCCATCACTCTCTCTACACACACACTCACATCTCAACCAAACAAAAACCCAAAACCCCACCCACAAACAACCCACCACCAACCACAACCACCAACAACACCCCCACACCCCACCACAACCCAACCACACCAAAACCACAACCAAACAACCCCAAAACAACCACCCACCCCACCCCCCCCCACCCCAACCCCACCACAACCCACACAAAACACCCAACCACACACCACCCAAACCAACCCACACACCCCCCAAACACAAACACACCACCCCCCACCCCACACCCCCACACCCCCACACCCCCACCCACCCCCACACCCAACCCCCACAACCCCCCACCCCCCCCACCACCACCCACAAACCCCCACACACCACACAACCAACCACCCCAAACAACCCCCACACAACCAAACCCCCCCCAACACAAACCACCCCACCACCCACCCACCCCACACCACCCCCCCCAACACCCCACACCCACAACACTCACCCACACCCCAACCAACCCACACCCCACCCCCCCCCCACCCACCCACAAAAAACACCACACCCAAACCCCCCACACACCCACCCCAAACCCACCACAACAACACAAACACACCCACCCCACCCCCAAACCACCCACACCCAACCCCCAACCCAACACCACCCCACCAACCCCAAAACACAACCCCAACCCAACCCAACCCACCCCCCCCACCCCCACCCAAACACACCCCCCCCCACCCCCAACACAAAACCCACCCCCAACCAAAACCCCCCACAACCCACCCCCCCCCCAAACACCCACCCAACCACCACACCCCCCCCCCCCCCAAACCCCCCCCCCACCCCCCACCAACCCCCCACCCCAACACCCCCCCCCCCCACACAACCCCCACCCCCCACCCAACCCCACCCCACCCCATCCACCCCCCCCCCACCCCCCCCCCCCCCCCCCCCCCACCCCCACCACCCCACACTCACACCACACCACCACACACACCCCCCCACCCAACCCCCCACACCACCACCCCCCCCCCCAACCCCCCCCCCACCCCCCCCCACCCAAACCCCACCCCCCAACAAACCCCCACCACCCCAACCCCCCCCCCAACCCCCCACCCCAACCCCACAACACCACCCCACCCCAAAAAAAAACACCCCACCCCCCCCCCCCCCCCCCCCCCCCCCCCCCCCACACCCCCCCCCCCCCCCCCCCCCCCCCCCCCCACCCACCCCCCACACACCCCAAAACCAACACAAAACCACCCACCACCAAAACACCCCACCACCAAACACAACACCCCCCAAAACACACCCACCCACCACACAACACACCACCCCACAACCAAACAAAACCCACAACACCCTACAAACAACACAACACCAACCCCCCCACCACCCACCCCCACACCCAAACCCCACCCCCCACCCAACCACTCTCTCACTCACACATCTCACACCACACTACACAAACCCAACCCAACCCCACCACACCCCCAACACCCCAAACCCAACACACCACCACCCACACAAACCCAAACAACACACCAAACAACAACCAAACAAAACCCCAACAACAAAAAAACACACACACAAAACCACCCCCCCAACCAACCACAAACCAACACCACACCACACCAACCACCACACCCACCCACCCCCCACACACCCAACCCCCAAAACCCACCCAACAACCACACACCCCCACCCCCCCCACACCACCAACCCCCCACCCCCCCCCCCACCCCACCCCCCCCCCCCCACCACCCCCCCACCCAACACCCACAACACCCACACACCACCCCAACACCCCCACCCCACAAACACACCCACCCCCCACCACACAACACCCCCACACCCACTCACTCACTCTCTCACACTCCCACACCCCCAACACCACACAACCCCCCAACCCCAAAACCCCCACACCCCCAACACACCCCCCACAACACAACCACCACCCACAAACAACCCCCAAACCCCCAACAACACCCAACAAACCCACCCCCCCCCCCACCCCAACCCCCAACCCCCCCCCCCCCACAAAACCACCCCACCCACCCAACCAACAACCCCCCCCCCCCACCCACATACATCACTCACTCAAATCACACACACACTCCCCACCCCACCCCCACCCCACCCACACCCCCAACACCAACACCAAAACACCCCAAACCACCCCCACAACCCCAAAAAAACCCCCCCACCCCCCACACACCAACCAACCCACCCAAAAACACCCCCCAACACCACAAACCCCCACCCCACCACCCAACCCACCCCCCCCCAACCCAACCCCACCACACCCCACAACCAAACCAAAACACCCCACCACCCAAACCACCCACCAACCCACCACACACCACCCACCCAACCCCCACAACACACCACACCCACCAACAACCCCCAAACACACCCCCCAAAAACCCACCACCACCCCACAACCACACCACACAAACACCCCACCCCACCACCACACCCCCCCACCACACACCACCACACCCACACCCACACCAACCAACACCACCACACACACCCCACACCAACACACACCACACACACCACCACACCCCCAACCACCAACACCAACCCACCCCACACCCCACAACACCAAACCCACCCCCACCCCCCCCCCAACCCCACACCAACCCACACACCCCCCCCCACCCAACCCCCCAACCCCACAACCACCCACACCACCCCCCCCCCCACCCAAACCCCCCCACCACACACCCCCACCAACACCACCCACCCCCAATCAACCCCCCACCCCCACACACACACACACTACAAACACCCCCCCCACCAACCACCAACCCAACCAACCCCCACCCCCACCAAACACCAACCACCACCACCCACCCCCAACACACCCCAAACCCCCCCACCCACCCCCCCAAACACCCCACCCCCCCCACACCCCCCAAAACCAAACAACAAACCAAAACAAAAACAACCCCCCACCAACCCCCCCCCCACAACCCCAACCCACACCCACACCCCCCACCCCACAACACCCCCCACCCCACCCCCCCCCCCCCCCCCCCCCCCCCCCCCCCCCACAACCCCCCCCCACACACTCACTCACACACACACACTCTCATCACTCTCCACCCCCCCCCCACCCCCCCCCCCACCCAACCACCCCCCCCCCCCCACCCACCCCACCCCCACCCCCCCACCCACACACCTCACACTCTTCTCACCCCACCCCAACCCCCCCACCCCCCCCCAACACCACCCACCCACCCCACAAACCCCCCCCCCCACCCCACCCACCCCCCCCCCCACCCACCACCCCCCCAACCACCCCACCCCCACACAACCCCACCCCCCCCCCCACCCCCCACCCACCCCCCCCCCCACCCCACCCCCCACCCCCCCCCCCAACCACCCCACCCCCACCCACCCCCACCCCCACCCACCCCCACCCCCCCCCCAACCCCAACCCCCCACCACCCACACCCCCACCCCCCACCCCCCACCACCCCCCCCCCCCCCCCCCCCCCAACCCCCCACCCACCCACCCCCCACACCAACCAATACCCCACCCCCACACCACACCCCACCCCACCCCCCCCCACCCCCCACCCCCCCCCCCCCCCCCCCCACCAAACCCCACAACCCCCCCCACCCCCCCCCACCCCACCCCCCCACCCAAACAAAAACACAAACAACCCTCTCCACACCACACAAACAACAAACACCCCCCAAACCCCCCACAACAAACCAACCAAAAACCCCACAACACCACCACCCCCAACCAAAACACCCCCCCACCCCACCCCCCCACACCCCCCCACCCCCCCCCCCCCCCCAAACCCACCCCCACCACCCCCACCCCCCCCCCCCACCACCCCCCACACCCCACCCACACCCCCACAACCCCACCCCCACCCCCCACCCCACCCCACACTACTCTCACTCTTCTACCACAGGTCGCGCAGATGGTCACGGACAGCCTCAATATCCCGAGGGTGGATGGGCCGAGCTCGGTGTTTGAAGGGTGTCTCATCGTGAAGGCGGATGTGATGTTTCACGTGTTCAGTTCGTCCAAAGTCAAGGTCATGGTGGGAAAACACTTCCGGGATCTGTTCGAGTTTGGATATGACACGGTCCTTCCATTCCGGAGGAATTGGGGAATCACCAAAATCGAACTCCAGTTTGACTTCCGGATGCAACGGTGTTTTCGAATTGGCAGAGTGTGACAGAATCTGAGGAGACATGGTAAGTTCAGCTATGACACTCAATGGTGAGAGTGTAACGTTCTGCTCTGATTCATTAGTGAGCATAATGGGGATCTTGTATGGAGAGTGACTTGGCAGTGTTACAAGGCCACCTTTTCACACAGAGGGCTCCAGGGAGTGATGTGGTTGGTTGCTCTATCAAAGCCCACTTGCTACCTGGTGGTGGATTGGCAGGGAACGAACCATTGACAATCATAGTGCGGCCCGATGGGACTTGAACCGGGGTTTTACTAGTCAACCTGATGACAACTTCATTGGCTCCTTGGGTCCGCTGGTGCCGTAGCTGGAGTAGTTGAAGGACTGCTCTGTAGCCATGGTGGGATGGCTTGTAGCTAGCACACTCACTCTCCAGACACTGTTCATAAAGCGGCTCCAGGGTGTTCATCCCTATGAGGACTTGCGAGTGAAATCCTGATCCAACATCGGGAACCACCAGGGCCAGAGTATGGACATCCAAGTCAGCACCAATGAATGCTTCTGGGAAAGTAATAGTCACTTCAATATATCCCAAATATGGAACTTCTTGTCCGGCAGCACCTTCTACTTGTAACAGCTCACACAATGGGTTAACGGGTTGATGTGAAAAATACTGATTATAGATTGACACAGGTATAGTTGTTACCTGAGATCCGGTGTCCAGCAGGCACTGCAGACCTTTGCCGGAGATGGTAACTTGGCCTGTACATCTGGATCCGATTAAGCCTCTCGGTAATCTGGCAGTTTCTGTTGCTGTGGAGTGCGACTGGCTGCGGCACTTCACGGCTGGCTGCTGTGTGGGACATTGTTTGTCCTCCGCAGTTCCCATTTGCCCCTCAATAGGAACGGACTTTAGTTTAAAGACGACCCAGGATGAGAGTTGGATTGATGCCATTTCTTTTGTCTTTCTGCAAATTGTCTCTTTTTGTTGGCCACAAGTGATGGATTGGGATCATTGTCACAATTGGGTCTTATGTGTCCATCTTCCCCACAGTTGTAGCAGTAACCTGGTTTGAGTCCTGCTGCTGGGGTTTTGTTGGAAGATCGACCTTGATTGTTGGACTTCGGTTTTGTACTGGAATTGAAGGAAGGGTTCTGCTTGTGACCAGCTTGTGCAGCAGTAAGCGATGTCAGCTGCTTCTGTATGTCTGCTAGCTGTTGAGCAAGCTGCTGCGTGATGTTGGTCAAAGCGTCTACTTTGGATTCCTCTGGCATGGCATAAGCATATTGGGCATTTGCCCCGGCTCTGGCTTTTGAGCCGAGGTGTTGCTTCATACGCTGCGCCTTAGCAGCCTCTCTGTCTTCCTCAGTCCTTAACAACAGCAGTAACTCAGCAAAAGATGGTGGGTGAGATTTGCGCTGTTTTAACTGGAGTTCGGAAATGAGAGTGTTGTTCCAGCAGCCGCGACAAAATTGGTTCAGCAGGTGTAGGTCCAAATTGATAGCTGCGACGCCACCTCTTTTCACAGCCAGATTTAATGCAACTTGCAAGCGCTGCAGATACGTGGATGGACTCTCACCAGCATCCTGGAACAACTCCATGAACTTGGCATACAATTCGTCGCCGTCTTGGACTGTCCCATAAGCGGAGTCAAGTATCTGCAAGTAGGTACGTGGTGGTGTATCTGGCTTGAGGTGTTTCACCATATCCGCTGCTGGTGGAAGGAGACTTTCAAATAGTTTTCTGGATCGTTGCAGGTCTGAAACAGCAGGGTCCTGTAACAACAGATCAACACTGGAGCGCCAAGTCTCAAAATCTGACTCATGTTGTGGTCTTGGGGTTCGACCTGAGAAGGATCTGAGACGCTGTGAAGACAGATGTGCATTGTCATCACTCCTCATGATGTGCTCCACAACATACCGTTGGACTCCGGGTGGGTTCATATCCATTGCTGGTAATGCTGGCCTCGCAGAGACTCTGGGTTGAGCATCAGAATCCAGACGGCGCGATGGTATTCCCTCTTCTTGCGTTGTAGCTGTAGCACTATCCAGACTGAAGTTGGGAACACCGGGCAACTCTGCAGAAGTACTAGCCATGGCTCGGGTCGGATCGTCACCGGCATCTGGGGAAGTCTTTACTGCAGGTGGGGGACTGAGCTCGGTAATTGACTGGCCCAGTAGAGACATTACACCTTTAAGGACCTGTGCATAGTCCTGCCCTGTGAGTTTAGCTACTTTTTGTAACTCACTCAAGTATGTCTGAGTCTTGAGCTTGCCTTCAAGCTCAGAGCACATGGTTGAAAGTTCACAAATGTCATACGAAACCTTTTTATTCCGACAAATGTATCTGTATGGCAAGATTTCCCTCAACTCATCTAAAGCCTTACCCGACTCAAACTCAACAACAAGAGTATCTTCAAAATCACCGCCCGAATCTGCAATAACTTGAACTTGGGACGGATCACCGTACTTGCTTAGAAATGCAATAACTTCATCATCGGATTCCTGATCCACTGTGTACTTGATTAATACTGAACAAGGAATCTTTATGCCATGTTTTGCCAAAACATCCATGTTTATGCTTGAATGTCACTTTATGTCTTTATTTTGGTTCAGTTCTGCTCATACAACCCTCCTGGCTAGCTCGCCACTAATTATGTAACCCCTGTGTCATAAAATAATATATAATCTAAGTAGAACAAACAAGAATCTACAAAATCTTAGAATATATAGTTATAACACAGTAAGTACTAAGTAATAAACGTGTAATAAGAAAATAATAGTAATGTAATAAAGTTGTATTAGGCTAGTAGTCAGAAGTCTAGATTTGGCTCAAGGAGGGAGTGGCAGGAGACTGAATAAGTTTGGTTGTTACCATGTATTAACAAAGGACAAAATTGACAAACAATACAGTGACACACAAAACATATACCCAAAAATCAGTGAATGGCCATTCAATGGTAACACGTGTTTCAAATCAATATTCATTCGGCACTGCACAAGTACAATGTATAGAAACGGTTTTCACAGTATTCACAAAAGCAACCAGTGATAGACTTCAACAAAACAGTTTCTCAGCCCGCAGCACAGTTCATCAATAACCCACTCTGGGTTTGACCAGTTGGACAGAGGGAGGCGGTGCACAAGAGTTTGTGAGATGTGGATGAGTGGATTGCAAAAGTTCCGTGCAAAGTGGGGAGAAAGTTTGTGGGCTGCAAGGAGCCCCCTACCGGCCAGCAGGGGAGATGCGAACATGCGACTCCAGATCCAGTGGGCTCTGTAGGCTCTAGGCCTGGTCCTTCAGCTCGCCATCAGGGTCAAAACCTGGCCTGTAGAACAGGACCAAAGCTCAAATAAATCAAAAGCTAACTAAATAGTTAAACTCCAGTGTGCACACGATTCTACAATACAGCACAGGTTGTACTATAATCCATCATTATCAAAAGGTTAAAAACCATATCAGTACTAGTATATAAATATTCACAGTGTATATAAACATAATGTACTAGCTGTAGTCATTAAACAGTATAAATCAAACATTCAATGAACATTCAATAAACAGTCCAATTTAAACAATGAATGCATCATTAAATAACATAAGTAAAAGCAAAGCATTACTAATGGACAGAACAGGCATAAAAGCTGCTTGCATAAAGCACATGGTAACCACTCCACTAATACAAAATGGATGTGGCCAGAAATGGCTATGCTACAGTGTGAAATAAGCTACACTCACCAATTCCTTGTATTCCTCCTCACAAGCGAGCTGATCACTATTCTTTGGCAAATAGAAGGCTCCTAAATGAGGCAAGTTTGTACAATAAACGTCAAACAAAACACAAAGGCATCAAACAGTAAAGTGAGCACACTACACACCTGCAGCCACTCCCTACACAGCTTCCCCCACAGCACTTCCTGAACCTGCTTTCCTCTAACCAATAAAACCATGCATTGGCTAGAAGGGATCTGATTGGCTAATGGGTGGAGCCAGCAGTAGGCCAAGCAGTGGTATATTCAAAGGGGAAAACACTAGCAGGACCTGGGTTACACTTGGTTATCCCTGCGATGGGGGACCTCTGAACACGTCTCTCTCTGGTCTCTCTCTCTCTGGTCTCTCTCTCTGGTCTCTCTCTCTGGTCTCTCTTTTGGTCTCTCTCTCTGGTCTCTCTCTCACTGGTCTCTCTCTCTGGTCTCTCTCTCTCTGGTCTCTCTTTGGTCTCTCTCTGGTCTCTCGCTGGTCTCTCTCTGGTCTCTCTCTCTCTGGTCTCTCTCTGGTCTCTCTCTCTGGTCTCTCTCTCTGGTCTCTCTTTTGGTCTCTCTCTGGTGTCTCTCTCTCTCACTGGTCTCTCTCTCTGTGGTGTCTCTCTCTCTCACTGGTCTCTCTATGGTCTCTCTCTGGTCTCTCTCTCTCTGGTCTCTCGCTGGTCTCTCTCTGGTCTCTCTCTCTCTGGTCTCTCTCTGGTCTCTCTCTCTCTGGTCTCTCTTTGGTCTTTCTCTGGTCTCTCTTTGGTCTCTCTCTGATCTCTCTCTGGTCTCTCTTTTGGTCTCTCTCCTTGGTCTCTCTCTTTGGTCTCTCTCTCTGATCTCTCTCTCAGACAGTGGGGCGGCTGCGGCTGTAAAGTGCCAAACTGTGGTCGTGTCCTTAGGCAAGACACTTCCCCCACATTAGAATGAGTCTGGTGTGTGTGTGTGAATGGTTGGTGGTGGTGGGAGGGGCTTCTGTCAGTGTGCCCCAGACATGAAGAATGAAACAGTCATATGTTTGTCTCTCTTGTTGTTGTTGAATGAGATAAGACAGAGATCTATGGGGTAAGGTTACTGTCAATAAAGACGTGTATGTCTAAAAAAAATG